CTGAAGTAACCTTTCTGAGTTACACATGGTGCACAGACTCTACTAGTAGCCTATATCTTTAATGGAGTTCTGCAACGCACGTATATTGACCAGGAAAAATATGACAAGTTTCCAACTGCCAAATCTACTTTTAAGTTGATTTAATAAAATGAAAGGGGGTATTTTATTATCATTCCAATTATAAGAAATGTTAAACAAACTGAGATAAATGAGAAGATCAGTATCACTCAGTTCGTATGTTAAATGTGTAGCTAGACCTAGGACCTTTAGGATCAGAAACTAAAAAACTATGAATCTGTGTATGCACCTCATTGATGTGTCCGAGCTTTTGTTCACCAGTCATTACTCTGAAAGACAAAAGAGGAGATGAGTGCAACTCAACAGTGACTTAAGCTCAACAGATGAGCCTCAGTTCTCTACATGTTTGAATCCAGATGACCCACAGATGCTCTAAAGCAGATTCTGCAACAGTAGACAGATGTTGGGTGGTAGCTAGTATAGGGGTGACCAGTTATCACACTGGCTGAGGTTTACCCCGTCCCTTTAATCGAGAAACGACTTAGAGCTGTTTCTAAGTGCTCCTAAATCAGATAAAACAGACAGAGAAAATCAACTTCTCTAAGTGTGTGCTGCTTTGTGAGGCTGATATGTACCAGACAGGATTACTCCTGGGTAGGAGGCTAGCTTTGGAAGGACTATGGCAATGGGAATATAGACTTTCTTGATTTATAGGATCATGACAGTCAAACAGTGGATAGAAGCCATTTGAAGATTCTTAAAGGGCACTACAGCTTGTTTAATATGTTATTTCTTAGCCTTGGCCTTACATTTAACACTTTCTGTTTTATGTTTACTCCAGTCAAAAGACAGAATGTAGAATGGTGACTGTACTGTAGCAGTGTACATTTTTAGCTCAGAAGTAAAGACTACACATGCTGCTACATAACTTATTTGACCTGTGAAAGTTCAAATTAGCATTGTCTGAGCCAAATCCAAGTATCCAGTCACTGGCCATGAAACACTTAACTCTTATAATCTTTGGATGTAATGTGTAATCAACCCCAGGTGCTAAAGTTAACATACATTAATTTAGCAGTAGGGAATTTCCAGGATGAAAGCAGATCAGTACCTTGTAGTATGAATGTAATTCTATAATTTGACAAACACTGACAACATAAAATAGTGACAACATAAAAATTGAAATTGGTTTCTACATCCAGAGAGTGTTTTTTTCCCGTTGCACAAAAGCAACATTTAAAGGGCTTAAATCTATTAACTGGGCAAAGCAAACCAGTCAGCCCATCTGAGGGACTTTATTCCCAGTCCCAGCCCTTTCCCTGGGTGATTGTTAATTACTCTGGATAAATCTGTTGGCAATTTGTCAGGCTGTTCCACTATGTCCCCCGCCCAAACCCGACCACTTCTCTCATCTCTTCCTCCTCGTTCTAAGTACATGTAATGAATCACTAATCGCTCGGTCCCTGACGAGCATCCCCAGCCTATTATCTCTTAATTACCCCGTTCAAGGAGATATTGGCACAAGCTAGCAGGGGGAGTGCGGTTAAACAAATCTAGGGTCAAATCAGTTTGTGCTTCATGATGTATAACACCTGAACTTTGTTGTGTGTGGATGAGGACAGTGTATTTACTATTAGGCGGTAGGTTATGTATGTCACCATGGTTCCGTTCATATATCCGAGAGGGTGAACGAGACATTGAAAGCCCCCAGGCTGTGGTGGTTTATGTACATACTGTACAGCGAGAACGAGCTAGCTTGTTCTCAATCTCTGCTCGGCTTTCTGACCGCCGGGCTCCAAATGGTCCTCTTGTGAAGCATTTGGGCCGTGGCAGAAAATGGAGTCTCTAACTCAAGGCCATTTACGGATGCGACACTTGGGACTCGAAGCGAGTTGCCACAGTGCACAGATAGAAATTGGAATTGGCAGCAGACATGAAATGGGGTCAGGGGATTTGTGCCTGACACACACACACACACACAACTTGTGAGTTTTAGAGTTTTCTGATTTATAAGGGGGGTCTTTTCAAAGAATGATGCCACAGATTAACTGCACCTTACAATGCCACAGAAACAGACTTAGAATAAAAGCCCAATTTGTAGCTGCCATTCACGATCTTTTAAAGAATTCTCATTACATTTTCTTGAAAGTAAATGTGGTGTGGACACATGGTCGCGGCCTCCTAGTCAGCATGATGGAGCAAACTTTTTAAGCAGGGTGTGAGGCGGGAAAGAGAAATTCCCATACTCCCATTCCCCAGTCTGAAAAAAGAGCAAAGAAAAGGCTCAAGATCACACAGTTGTCTCTTGTTTACATCAACTGAGTAAAGTGAGAACACTTTTTTCATGATGCCCAAAATTGACAGGTGCCCCCTGCCAAGTTCTCTTAATAGTTAAGGTTTCTGAATTTAATCTCACTAATTTCAACATATCCCTCTAAGGATCTTAAAGCTTAACTTTAGAAAAGCAAAAAGACCCAGTACGGCCTTTCTGGGAATCCCGGTGTCTGTTTTTTGTCAGTCCTTTAGTGAAAGCCTGTCAAAAGTGGTTAGCTTCTCCAGTGAAACTACTTCTTTGCATCTTAGCCCCCAGTCTTGCCCTGTGTCTGCACAATTTCTTTCTATCCTCTTGTTTCTCTCCTTTTGTTTAGATAAAGCGAGGGATTAAGAAAGATTTGCCCCCATAAAGTAGTGGTTTGATGGGCTTTTATCCCACCATGTTGCTAAAGCTGTGTAGCCCTGGGATTAGGCCCTGACAATAGGAACCCTTGTGCTGGGCCGCAGCCTGAGGGGCACAACCAAAGACTGGCTCTAAGAAAGAGGGAGGAAACAAACCTGCCAACCTTGATATGTCAGGTCTGCCAGAGAAACAGTTTAGAGGAGCAGCCCTGGCGAGAGTGAAAGCTTGTAGTTAGCCTCACATATAGAGAATCGCCGTGTCGCTATACCAGTTATAATTACACTCTGCCTACACCAGTCTCTTCCAGACTGTTTAGGTTTTTAATGCATTTTTACAAATGACATCAAAGTGTGTTTACACATCTGGTGGACTATGGGAGAAGAGCCTTTTGTAACTTGGGGCTGAATAATACAGGTTTGAAAAAAAAAAGAGTTGGGGTATGGAATTAAAACTTAGCAGAGCTCTGTGGCCTGCTCTGCATCTCTGGTTGATGCTAGTGTCTCACACCTACGTTAGCCACCGACAATGCCAGAAGGGTCGCTTGGAGCAATAAACCCACAGGGAATGATCTTCTGTCCCCCCCAGTTTCTTTCAGCATGTTGCTTTGGATTTCCAGCCCACAATAGAAATGTTTTGGTTTCTTCTGACCTCCCTCAAACTGTAGATGTTGTCTTGGCCACAGCAGTTGTTTTCAGTGGGAAAGATTAGTTGAATCCACTATGCAGTACTTGGCCAGCACCAGATGACACACAGAGTTAATGACTCTCTGGTGAACACAGCTAAAGAGGTTCAATGAGACCAAAACTGAGCTAAAAGATGAGTGAATATTAGACTTCTATTCATCAGGTGGCCAGAAATATAACTCCAGATTAATGTTACTCCATGAATATTAATAAATAAATACTCAGGAATCAATCAATACCTCTTAAACTAATGTATGCTTCTCATTTGTTGTGATGTTGTACTTATTGTATTTTCTCTGAATATGATCAGGTTTTACTTTTAGAATGTGGTTTCTTACGTTTACAGGACGTTCATAACTCAGAAGCCTGATTAACTGCATGTCAATTAAATGTGTAGTCATCACAGTAAATCTCCTTTTGTCATATCACTTGTGAAGAGACTCATGTCACGTGTGAATTTTTAATACATAACACCGCCTCAAAAAACATGATACTTAACCTGAATGGGAGAAAAGCAGGCCTACCGTTCCTTTGCCACACAGTTTAGTGATATTTGAGCACAGAAAAAAAGGCTGTGGAGCTGGAGATTTGTCCATTTAAATCAGGTATCCAGCACATATAAGGAAAGGTGAATGCCCAGCTAATACACAGCCCGAGGGTTGCGAGTGGCAAGTTGCTTTGTTACTCCAGTCACACAAGTCCCATGGAAGCAGTCAATTCTAAACCATACATCAAAATGATTAATTTCACCCAAATGAGCACAAGCTAACCTTGACTAAGAGCATGTGCAGGCCAGAGCAGCTGGATTGAAACCTAATATATTCATGAAGTTAAAGAAAAGCTAATGATAAAAGTTAATGGACTCTGAAGGCTGAAGGCACCAACTTTTTCCTCAATTTGATATAAACTGCCACTTGGAAATATAGGAAGCTATTTGAGGGGTAAAATTACAAACACTCATGCGTTATAAAACTGATTAAAAAATGAACATGATTTATAAATCGCTGCGGCTTCCTTGGCTGAGCTTTAACTCAAGCTGCCAAAGTCCTGATGCAGGGATAAAGTTTTGATATTTAGAAAACGAGCAGGAGGATGATTGCGAGCAGAGACGATAACTCAGATGTGAGAAGAGGCTTTGATATGATAAAGCTTGAATGCAGCGAGAATGCAGAGAACAACCAGTGTGCCAATGAAATCCATAGAAATCTGAGGTGAATTTGGGGTTTCGAAAGTTAGCCTGCAGCAAGCAGTGCTAAGATCCTGAAGGTGCTCACGATGAGAAGCATGGTGTAAGGATGGTACAAACAGAGATGGGCAAATTACAGTGTACATTCAGGATAATCATTGTGATTAGGCCTCAAAACCACCAGTGCTGCGAAATAAAACGTTATGGAGTTACTGTTTGTGTTTTTTAAAGTCAAAAGAACTGCAATAATTAATCACTCAGTCAGTAGAAATGTATTTGAGTCTCTAAAGAGTCAAATGCTCATTGTGATACAATAAAGTCATTTATCAAGCAAAAATGCTAAAAAAATCATCTGTTTGGAACTTCTCAGGTGTTAACAAGTACTACAATAAAGGCTCTACAGTTTGTTCTATAAGATATTTGATGATGTCTCCTTAGCCTCTACAAAGTTGTAATGAACAGTTTTTATTAGCTTCTGAAAATAGATCAAACACTTAATCAAGAAAATAACTATCAGATCAAATAGTTCTGAAAATAATTGCAGCTCTGATCTAAACAGAGATTAAAAACCTGTAACAATAGCCTATAGCTTACTTTTCAACTAAACCTTTATCACTGTAAATACTGTACAATACTTATTTATTCTTCTGTTGTTTGCCTTTATAAAATGAAACACACAAAGGTCCTACCTTTAGAGAATGTGCTTAAAATATTTTTTTCCTAAACTGACCTTGTAATATCTCCTGAAACAAAACCATTGAATGTTACTTTGGAGTTTATGTGGATGACATAACACAACTCTGCCAAGTGTGAGAAAACAAACATAGGCATCACAACTCTAATTCACTTCAGATTACTGCTTCAAACATGTAAATATACCTTTGCATTATTACTCTTCCTAATAAATCAGACCGTTCTGAAATGGGTTTAAACTCTCTTCTACACATTAAAAAGTTGTCAGTGTGAGTTTAGTGCCCACTCATCCCCCGTGGTCAGGGTGGCTGCTGCTCCACCGACCGGGTCCTCTTGGCACTTACATTAAAGCCCTCAGCCATGCTGGACATTAGCCCGCATTAAATTCTGTAAAAAAAAAAAAAAAAAAAAGCTTTTTTGGGGAAGAGAAGCTGAGAGGAATCCGCCATAAAATTTTTAAAAAAAAAAAAAAAAAAGAAGCTGTTTTGAGGAAGAGTAGCTGAGAGGAATTTCTTCTCGCTTTAACTGCTTTAGAAACGGTTCCCACAAAGAGACACTGGCCTGATTTACCTCCAGTTGAAGTTCTTATTTCCATCGGCTCACAAGTTAATCCGGTTTTTTCTCCCTTACGTCCAAATTCTCTGCAGTTATACTGACGAATAAAGAAAAGAATGGTCGGAATTAAAAAGCATTAGGAAGCTGTTGGCTATCATTAAGTTGATTTAATTTTTATTTAACTGGGTTCATTCAAACACACACGCACATCACTTTAGACCACTGATACCCACTTGTTGCTGCAAAGCCGACTAAACTGGTTCATTTAATTGTGTTACTTTGATATTTTGGACTTTCTACAGTGTGTAAAAGTAAAACTGATAAAGGGATGTGGACGATACCTGAACCCCACAAAGTAAACTTCGGTTAAACAAACGTTAAGGTAACCTTTAAGCAGCCTATTTCTGTTGTCAGGAGTCGAAACCTTTGCGAATGAATGTAGCCAAAGATCAAATTGAGTTTAGGATTTGAACCACCCCACCCCATCACCACCACCGCCTTCTTCTTGTAACAAAATATGCCAGCTTTACATTAAAAGGCTACTTCTCGCTGCCCTTAATTCCAGCCTAAACGGGTTTTCTACGGGAGAAGAAATCTTTTTTAAAAACCCCGAAGAAGAGAGGGGCATTATTGTTTTAATCCTCTTAGCAGCAGTCATTTTAAGACATTTTTGGTGGGTGAAATGGCGTCTTGTCTACCCAATCCTAACCTAAATCCCTCGGTGCCTGGGAGCTGCTGGAGGCAGCGCATGCAGCCCAGCCTGCATCTCTCCACCTCAGCCTCGTTCCCAGAAAACACGCAGTCCCACCGTGGCACGCAGAAAATACAATTAAAGTACGGAATTAACCTGATAGACACCAAGCCAGAGAGTGCAGAAAAGGCCCTTATCATTTGCATATCATTTAATTAACGGCTGTGGCAGATGGCAGATCTTTTTGGGCTGAACTCAAGATTTGCTTTTTCTTTCAGAAGCTCACTCTTCTTTAATGAAGGTCTGCTGTGAGAAATATTTGCTCTTAAAACATTTTAACCCCAAAATATAGTTTCATTACATTTGTAATATGCTATCTGGGAGTAAACTCAATCGAAAAAAGTCAGATTTCAAATGGACATTTTAGTGTTTATTAGCTCTATAATGAAGGTAAAGCAACCATAATATTAAAAGTAGCACAAAATATTTGTTCCATATCTTTATATAGGCCTGTACCTATAGGTGTTTTGACCTTGGCTTTAGCTCTTGTTGAGCAACACATTCAGAATATTGAAGAAAAGGCCAATGACAAGGCTGCTACTTATTTACGATTTTTTGAAAAAAAAAATACTCGTTATTCTATTGAAAAACAAGCTCATTTGCTCCAAAAGTTAAACAACGAGTTGAACACCAATTGCAAATAATATACTTGTCAAATGTGGTAGAGAACACCGCCACATAGGCTCCGTAGCCTGCGAAAACGCACAAGCTCTCCTTTATTTCTTCCAAAACAAAATCAGCGGCAGCAGGAAATTCGGCAGCTCGGATGCAGAAATCATCTTGAAGTGAGGAGTAATGTGAAGGTGGAGGAGGGCGGGGGGAGCTGAAGGGCGAAGAGATTGGCGCAGAGCAGGAGCGTTTGCGCGTCCCGGTGACCCCACCCGGAGCGCTTTAAAGGCCGATAGATGGCAGCTCAGCATCCTGCCGCATCCAGGGAGAGGCAAGGCGGAGCACGCAGCGGACGGACCGGGATACTCTCAGGATATCGTCAGACTGAATGAAAAACTAATCTTGCAAAAATGCAATTCCGCCTGCGGATTTTAGAGAAGATTTGAAAGGAAAGTATTCGGGTGCTAGTGGAAATATTTCACCACAGAGAGGCTACACAAAGGGGAGAGGTAAGTTTGCCGAGTGAAAGTTTGATAATCGTCTTGTTGTCTGTTTAGTAATGTTAAGATTATAAAATTTGTTACTTTATGCACTTTTTATTTTAGTTTTATAACCACATTATCCTCCAAGCTCCAGCATATCTTAGACAAACTAGTTCTCAAAGGCAACCATCTGAGGTCCAAGGCGAAAAGTTCTACAGTTCATCTGCTGCATCCAAACGAGCAGTGCTGACACCGCAGACTGTAGAAATGACTGACAGATTCATATTTAAAGGCTGATTAATAAACGGCTTTAATTGTGTTTTCTTTTTTGTTTGTTTGTTTTTGCTTAACATTACAAGTTGTAATGTTAATAGTCACCATTTCCCAAGGTCTTCAAATCCGGATGCAGCTGTTTTGGCATCGTGCACGCAGAGCTGCGGCCCCAAGGCATGCAGTCTTCAGTAAATGCTGTATAACTAATAAATCCACGGCAGTTAGGATGATCAGAGCCCGAGGCTGCGTCACATTGTCCTGACAAAGGAGCTTTATGTTGAAAATTTCTAAAGCGGCGGATTTTTAAAAATCGAACAGATTACACGAATCCACCCAGAGGCTGGTTTGTTAAAATAGCGCAATGAAATAGTCACATGAAAAAAAAAAAGTTATTGCATTTAGTCAGACGTTGTGACCGTACGAGCTCGCGCGCGCGCGCACCGGCCCACCTTTCACGTGTCAGGCCTGATGATAAATTAATAGCCTTTTATAGTTGAAACCTATTTGCACCCACATTAGGCAGGAGCCTCACTGGGGATCCCGTGCCACACGTCTCCGTCAGCCTCCAGGCGAAACTGACCCGGGACCCGCCACAGATTGAAATAAACGGTCCCCACTCGAGTCCGACTCCCTGGGAGCAAAGTAAATATTGTCTCCCACCTTCTGTCAGTCCAGCCTGCAGAGCTTTAACCTGGACACAGAGCAAAGAGGACAGAACACGTTTCAAACTAAAACCTCTTTAGGCTGAAAACAGGATTTGTTTGTAGGTGATGAAAAGCTAAACTGTCAGACACGTTGCCCTTGACCTATTTTATGTGTTTACAGTCGCCCGTTTTTAAATCCACCTGATCAAATTTTATAATTGTTTTGTTAATAAGAATTTTTATTCTTGCACATTTATATACCACAACCACAATGAACAAATTATTAAATCAGCACGGACTTAATGTTTCCTAATGCGAGTATGTTACAATACAAGCGCTCTCAGGAAAAATATTAGGAAAATAATAAGCATTTGTGATGTAGGCTAATATTATTTTACTTATTAAAATCTCTTTACTAGGCCCGTGTTACAGGTTCTTTGAGTCACTAAAGTGCTAAATGGAACCGACAAATGAAATGTTCTGCACATTTCTGTTCTGTATAAATTTATAGTAAAACTAAATGTTGTCAAGTTGTTTTGTAGAGCAGTAGATTCCTAAAACCCACACTATTGTCTGACAGTTTTGAATGTATAATATATATAAATCTGAATAAATAACATGTATATGTTTTTTAATACTTTAACCGATTTTAATCAATTTTCTTCTGGTGGTTTAATGTGGGAAAACCACGTGTTTCCTGGAAATTCTAATTGATTTTGCTTAAATGTAACTCAACAACAATACACTTTGTCAGATACATGTCTGAATTTTTTCCTTATTATTACAAGTGAAGTCTTCTGTCATTCCTCAGTAAAATGATTTCTCACCTGTTGCCATTCCAACTATTCAGCCTACAACGAAGACTAAACAAATCATTGATGGTTTTATTCTTTAATAACCTTACTGCAAGTAGAAAACAGATGGTTTTGTGTACAGCCTGACACTGAGCAGCTTCCTCTGCAGACAGCTCGCCGGTCATGCAGCACTACGGTGTGAACAGCTACTCTCTCCACGCCATGAACTCACTGAGCGCCATGTACAACCTCCATCAGCAGGCGGCGCAACAGGCCCAGCATGCACCGGACTACAGGCCCTCAGTGCATGCACTTACTCTGGCAGAGAGGCTGGCTGGTAAGAATGAGCTACTCATTTTGACTTCATTCCTTTCCTCCAGTGCTTTTTCCTGTGAATTTTTGCATATGTTGACCTCCTACTCTTCGATCTGTCCCTCAATTAAACTGCTCCTATTTCTTGTTTCTCAACGGCTGCACATTTCAAGACATTATTCTTGAAGCCCGATATGGCTCCCAGCACCGAAAGCAGCGACGTAGTCGGACGGCCTTCACCGCCCAGCAGCTGGAGGCCCTGGAGAAAACCTTCCAGAAAACCCACTACCCTGATGTGGTGATGCGGGAGCGACTGGCCATGTGCACCAACCTACCTGAGGCACGTGTGCAGGTAAGAAACATCTGTGATTGCATTCATCTTGTGTTCTGTTTGCTGGTTGCACCCCCTTTTGTTCAATTTTAAAGATTACAAGGTGAATTTAAAAGCACTTTTTTATCAATAAAGATGAAAATGGATAGGTAAGGCTCACTGTTAAACAGTCTTTGACCAAGGCATCGATCTGCTGGTGTTTATTTAACCAGGTCTGGTTCAAGAACCGCCGGGCCAAGTTTCGTAAGAAGCAGCGTAGCCTGCAGAAGGAGCAGCTCCAGAAACAAAAAGAGGCATCAGGTGCTGCTGAGGTCTCTACAGAGGACTCCAAGACTAACCTCACCACCACCAAGCAGGCTCCTGAGGCCCGCACTCCCCCTCCTCCCTCCTCCTCTTCATCCTGTCACTCAGAGACAGAGCGGCAGGCAGCCACACGGCCTCAGCCTGGAGAGATGAGCGTAGAAGTAAACGTCACCTCCCCTGAGCCGTCGGACTGCGAGTCAACAGCTGAAGATAATGCTGACAGGGAGGAGGACGAAATGAGAGGAGAGATGAGGGTGAAGATCAGAGAGGAGACCCACGGGGAGGGGGGAGCACAGCCAAGGAGCAGCTCCCCATCCTGCAAACGACTCAGCCCCACCTCAGGTAAAAACCTCCCTGTCAACTACTTTATAATTTCATTTTACCTGATTATACTGTATGTAGTATTTCAGAATCTGTTCCCATTCGTTTCCAAAGCTGTTTCACAGAAATAGTATCTAAATGCTAAACAGAGGATAAACAAACAATCGAAAATTTACAGAACACAGCTGTGTGTGTATTTAAACATACTAAAGTCCTCCTCTGTCCCATCAGACTCTCCCCTGAGCTCCCCCACTTTGGCGTCCTCCAGCAGCGTGACCAGCGGGTTGGCTCAAAGTAACTCCTACGCCTCGTCCCCCCTCAGCCTCTTTCGGCTGCAGGAGCAGTTTCGGCAACACATGGCCGCCACCAACAACCTGGTGCACTACCCTTCCTTTGACATGAGCACACCATCGTCTCTGCCCTACCTGGGCATGAACGTCAACATGCCATCCCCCCTGGGCTCACTGCCCTGCCAGTCCTACTACCAGACCCTCTCGCAGGCCCAGCAGGTATGGAACAGTCCATTGCTGCAGGTACCTCCAGGCAGCCTCCCTGGAAGCCTCAACAGCAAGACCACCAGCATCGAGAACCTCCGTCTGAGGGCCAAGCAGCATGCAGCCTCACTAGGACTGGACACACTTCCCAACTGAAGCTCTGGCTGCTCAGTGTTCAGTCTCTGCTCTGGGCTGTAGCTATGAATTATGGGCCATGACCACAGGAAGTAACTCTAGGATCCCCCTTCTCTTTCCTCTCGACCTTTCGCCATTATAAAACAACCTTGTGTATCATTCTAAAACCTCATTAGAAACACCTCCGGTTTCAGCTTTGTTGGCTGCTACACAACTGGATGTCATAGAAATAATTTAGGAGCCCTCTGTTCAAAATCTGTCCAAAGTTGAAATTGGTACTCGTTGAAGATAAATTAACTGGGGTGCTGCTGAGAATGCTTCGGTTGCAGTTTTCTAGATTTCAAATAAACATGATTTCAAAACCAGAGAAGAATGCCAAAAAACAGAAGCAACACAATTTTTAGGCCTAGAACACAAATGTGTTTTCAGACCAGGCATTTTAATGGGCCCTCCCTCAGGTTGGGGCCCTGGGTTGGCACCACACCTATTCTCCATCTTGTTGAGGAGCACAGTAGAGCTTGAAGAGCATCTCTGATGGTGACATTTAAAAGAAAACTAATTATAAGAAGAACTCAAAGGACTTAATAAATACATTTAAAAAACAAACACCTGGACTGCAGGTATACCTGAACTGTACTTTCTGCTTGTGTGGATCTTGTTTATACTTGCCTCCTCCTGGTCAACAGCATAATTCTTCTGATGTCAGCTGTTCACTATGATTTGAACCTCTTCTGTGACGTCGGGGCAGAAAGTCTTGAATAACAGAGCTGCCTGTCTCATTTCGGGACAAACGGAAAATGTGAAAATATAACTATGCTGCATGCACCTCTCTGAAGCATGGCTTACAGTCGCACAGCACAAAATGAAGTCGCAAATAAAGCTCTGACCAGCCACTTTAAGCCTAGAGCAAACTGTACTTTTTTGCAGAAGACAGATGATTCTCCTTGTTTAAAGTTACAGCGCTCAGCTCAGCCTGCAAAAATCCACCGAGTATTGTAAATATCCCTCAGTGTTTGCTTCCATCTGCCTGGTTAGAGAATAACTTCATGTCTCTTTTTGTGTGAAGGAGTTGAAAATTTATTTCTCAGATGTGACTTAATTGACAGGACCTACAACAGAAATGACATGAGGGGAGAATCTGAGGAGGCACAGGGACAAAGGTGCACCCAGCTGACGTATATATTTTTATTAACTTGGGTGCCACGTTGAACTTTCTGCTTTTTCAGAGGCTGTTGCTTCAGCAGAAAGATGCACAGGCCAGTTCTCTGTGTATTATATAATTGTAGATTCAAGACATGTATTTCTCAATTCTTATAAGCGTGAGTAATTTATCTGTTTAATGCAAGGGAATAAATGAAACCTAAGAATGGCTCCTGTTTTCAGTGTCATGAAAATATTGTACTTGTTCACAGTGCCTCATTTTGCCATTTTTCAAAGCAATGCACGAGCTGTAAAAAAAAATACACCTATTATTCAAAATGAAAAAAAAGGGGGAACACAAGGCACCATTCCTGGTATAAAATTACTACTTGAATTACAGAAATAGAGATGCTCTATGAAATGTCATCCAAAAATTCCGAGACCGAGCAAGAGTTTGCACTGAGAACCAGCAGGGCACCCCGCCACCATGCGTATATGCATACAAACATGCACTCCATGGATAAGTCTTCAAAAACACCCAAAACAATTTTTTTCAAAGTTTCCAAAGTGAAAAGAATTTGGCAGCAAGAGAAGGATTAGGTCAGGGTGTGCCAAATCCAGCTCCTCTCTGGCTGTCTGACAGCACTGAGTAGGACTCACAGATAACTGAATCTTACAGTTCTGATTACCTTCAACCTTATATAGTAAAACAAAGTTTGGTTAATATGTTTCACTTGAAGACACCTTGATGATCCGTAAATAATTTCGACACAGGAGGTCTACACACCACATTGGGGAGAACATGCCACTTGTTCACCGAGCGCAAAATGACTAATCCTAAATGAAATGACTGAAGCACAGTGTCAGGCACCCACCCATCCACCCCCACTCTCTCTCTCTCTCATGTTCCCCTCTCCCCCCCAACCCTGTCAGCTGAGGTTTGGCTGCACCGAAACAGAATGCCTTGCCATAAGAAGATTACCTTTGGTTGGGATATCGATGGATTAAGTAAGAATAGAATGAGATAAAATAAGACTGAAAGGGTTCCCGGAGTCAGCAAAGTTCAGTCACCTGTTTTTTTTTTTTTCTGTCTTTGTCGCTTTCTCGCTCCATGACCATAAAGATTATATCACTTTCTAACTGCAGGGGGGAAGTTGGAGAGGTGGGTGGTTTAGGATGGGGCAAATTACAGTGCAAGAATAATTTGTGGCCGCAAAGAATTTTTTTCCCCCATATGCCCTTAGGTTATTTAAACGTGGTCAATTTGTCATGAACATCTGGGTTTGTGTTCGTGAAGCTCATATGGATGTAAGTTAATGGGAATGCGATGTGAGAGAGTGTGTCTATGGCAGTTAAGCCGCTGAAGGTTTCCAGGAGCTCTTTGATGTGTATCTGGGCAATGCTCTATTAGAGGGATTTTCCTAGTTGACAGCTCAGAGAATGTGTGGAGGAATTGCGATGCCAGCGGGCTAAAAGAATGCTAGAAACAGGATTAGGATCATATTCTGGCAGCTCCTGTCACTTCATCAATGGGCTAAGGTTTCCTCAGTGACAGCCCTCCTTCTCTGCCCAGCTAAAACCTTTAGTGGGACCATAAAAGGGGTGAGAGAGGGGAAAAAACAATGATTGAATGGTGTGCTATGATTTCTGTGCTGGGTTTGCTCTGAGGGCTTTGTGTTGGGAGGTCTGAAGAGGATGGCGTTGATTTGGAAGGAGGGGTAGGTCATGGGGATGAGAAAAAAGGGAGCTTTTTGGGAGGGAGAGGGGGTGACGGTGGCCTTTCTTGGAAGTTTTACATCCAAATCCCCGTGGCAGAGCATTTGGAGGGGTTTTACACTGATGTTAGTGGACAGGGACAGCAGCTTGGTGTCCCCCGGGAGACGACAGCTGTAGCAGGTGGAAAAGCAAAATGCTGTTTCCGGAATCTTCAGGATCCAGTTTGACTGTGTAAGTCCTGCCTAGCTTCACCAAGTGAGATCTCTGCCATCATAGTATATGGAGAGTGTCATATGTACTTGAGGCTCTTCTGAGACTTTTTGTGGCTGTTTATTACATGATCATTCATAAAAGTTTTACTTGCAGAGAAATCACATTAAAATATCAAATCCAGACATCAAATTATTTTGTGTAATTATTTTCAGTGTAGTCAAAACCAGGTATAGCTTGTTCCTCTGTGTCAGGTAGGAGATCCATTGTTCAGTCATCAGTGAGCCACACTGTTGGACTGAGTGGCAGGTTACTTTGAGTTGATACATACACCCTCCTGCTGCTGTTAAAAAAAACAGTACAGCACCAAATGTGCATTAATCTACAGCTGAAAATGCTCCTTCTGATTTGCTAAAAACCACATTTATTTTAGAATATAACCTTTTTCTTTAAAAAAGTATATACATTACCCATTTCCCATAAAAAATGCATCTTCAGAATAAATGGCAGCATAAGTTGATGGTTTTGGTCTTTTCATGGGATTTGTTAAGAACAAATATATATATATATATCAGCTTGTTCTATACACATAAGAAAATGTTTATTTATCAATATACTACTTTTGTCTGCAGGCCATGCACCTAAGCATACAGTAAACATTACCTTAAAAAAATCATGAATTTTACATTTTTGTTAAAAAACAATAAATATTAAATGCAATTAGTAATGCCATAACAAAAAGTTAAATTCACCAACTGTACAGTTGAGCTTTAAACTTCCACTTTCTTTCCACATCTGCAGCACTTTGGATCAGCCAATTTCAACATATCCCTCACCGTGTTCAGGTGAGTCATTTATGCCCTAAACTGAATATTCTGAGAGGATTTTGAATTGCACCTTGTAGGGCTTGAGTTGCTATTGCAGAATAGCTTTTCTTGACTGGGCTTATAGGGTGGTCTCTGTCAGGCATCAGTCTCCATGCTTCCTCCAAAAGTGTAACTCCACACTCTGCTCACTCATATGAAACAATACTTTCACCAACAGAGGTTTCATTGTTGGCGACAAGTTATATAATGCCAGAAATTACAGGCTACCATGCAAATGCTAAATCCTCCTGTCTTTTTCCTGAGAAGTGGATGAGATGGACTGTATCTGCAGGCTTCACTCCGGCTCCCTGGCTTTGTGCTAAAGAGGCTCTCTCCTTTCTCCCCCTGACTTGGGTGATAATCCTGACACGCACTGTCTGCATTTTTTTACTGTATGTGTTTAAGCGCATTTGCAGAGCATTTATCTCTCCAATGTAAACCAATTTGGCTATAAGGGCCTTGAGCCAAGCAAGGCCCTGGAGGGAAGAAAGAAAAACTCAGACCTAGCACATGTGCAGAGAAGGGAGGATGGGAGAGCTGGCGAGGGTTAATGAACAACTGAATGCAGCAAAAAGGGGGAAGTGGAACCATATTGATGACAAAGAGTTTCCCTTGTCCAGAGGGTAAGCTTTGAAACTTGGGGCCCTTAAAGCTGATAGAACGAGGATCATTGAATTGTTGAGTCACAGAATCTGAGAAAATCATATGGAGCTCCTTAATCCTGCGATAGTGAAATCAGTTGGCATCCTTTGAGGATCCCAGGCCGTTCTGAAGGAATATGGAGCCTGCTGTATTGACAGAGGTGCTGTTTGATACCACCTATACACCTGTATCAGCTCTCTGTTAATCTGCCTTCTCTCACTAGTCCTTCACAGCACGTTGCCTCTGCTGGTAAAACTGGCTAATGAAATGAACCAAAAACCTAAAAGCTGCCAATCGTGCTGCTTCTTGATGTCTCCTGTGAGTGCTCTGGTTGCAGGCTGAACTTGTCACTTTGATCATCTCAAAGGAAGGCATCCCGCTGTGTCAGACATTACTACCTGGAATTTTGTGGAACCATAAAGACTATGGGCTCCTTGGTCCCTGAAATGGGACATTAAGACAGAATCATCCTAGTTTAGTTGTAGTGATATCAAGGTGTTTTATTTGCTGGTACACAGGAAGGGTTTGAATGTCTTTGGATGGCTTTTAAAGTACCTGATCTTATAGCCTATGGTTCCTGTAAATGAGGTGTTTGCTGCTCTTATCAATGAGACGTTACATGAGAAGAGAACCTTGGCCTGCCAGGGCTGTTTAACTGTTCTGCTGTATGATTACAACAGGCTGAGATGTCCTCTACACAAGACTTATCAAAGTATTTTAATACCTGAAGCTCAAGTTCCAGAAGATATCATTTACACACTCCCAAATATATAGTTCAGTAAGACAAATATGTACAAATTCAACAATATTATGTAGCTACCTGTCCTCATCTTGAATGCCTGTTGTTTGATGATGTTTTCTGGTCATAACAGGAAACATGCAGGCGCTACTGTTAACAGCAATGATTTAAGGGTCCTGGTAAGTCATGACATTGTGACAGTCAGCCTGCATGAAAAATACCAGGCCCCCAGCTACATGGAATTCAGCCATCATACATTTTATTATGGTTACATAATATCCACTGTTAAATGGGCCTATTTAAAACAATGTATAATATATGGGATTTATGCTTTCACTGTTACTATTTAGAAACTGGTTAGTAGTAAGGAGAACAATCAGGAAAGGTTTCACATTATAAGTTGTCTTGCTGCTGTTAGTTATTTTTCCATTATTAAGGAGAGTTCACATTAATCAACATTTAATAAATTGTATATTTTGCTTTGACCAAAACTCATTTTCACTTCAGTCCCTTAAATGAAAATGAACTCTAACAGCAAAAACAAAGTCTCACATTTTCCATTACACCTTTCTATTATACCTAATGTGCATGTGTTTTATGCCAATATTATGTCATTTAAATAAGATATTGGTGGGAATAAAAAAGTGTACATTTACTCAATTTTTTGAGTGCATTTTGTTTAAACCGATATATTTGACAAAGTGACAAATATTCTTTTGCTATATATCACGTGCATTTTGATAATCTGTGATTTTTAAATAAGCTACCATATACCAATAAGCTTAATTGATTTTAATACATATAACATGATGCAAAAATGCCAAATTATAATTGGGAAGTGTATTTAATGGGCCAATTTCAAGGCTGAGTTTGTGTGTGTGTCATTTCTTCTGTCTCAGATTCTGAGGGATTTATGAACAAAGTCAGGTTCCCTCTGAAGACCTGAGTCTCTTCACTGCCTCTTAAAGCTTAATGCTCCCTGACTGAGTGGCACAGCATGAGCCACACGCTCTCTCTCTATGTGCCACAAATAATGCTAAGAACAACCTCTCAATTCCAGCTCTCCTCCTTGCCTAATGTGCCCTCCTTCCTCTGCACCATGCACACGGCCAGTTCCATTCAATGAGACACCAGCACAAATGTGGATGATTGTAAAAACACAAACATTGTCCTTAATGGTTTCCCATCCCAGGAGAGTTTTAAAATGTATGTAAATTTATGTAAACCCAACAGAAACACATATTTACAAAGCCACGGGGTAATCACAATATGACGACACGGGGCGATGGCCTTGTAGATGAAGGCGCCATGTGTCATTAGTCCCTTGTGCGTTTCCTGTTATGGCATCAATGCAACAGACACTCACAATAAGAATGAAAATGATCTGCGCTCATCTGTGATACAGTGATGGAGAGGTAGAGGGTGAAGGAGAAGGTAAAGGATACCCTCACAGCTCCTGGGTGCCTTGACGGAGCACCACACTAGTGGAATTAGTTCATTAAATCTTTTAACGGTACAAGTTTTAGAGGAAGGAACAGTGGATCTCATGTTTTTATTGATTTGTAACATTTCAACATCTTGAAAGCAAACATCAACCTTTCCAGTGTGGAAACAATTAACAGCCATGTTCCTCTGTGAGAAATCTGCTACCTCTTTTCATTCCTTCATAGCATAGTGAGTGGTTGATTCCTTTAATGATCAAGGCGAGAGTATTAGTTTCCTCATACGTTTTACATTTTCAACATGCCATTGTGGTGCCTGTTCGCCTAACTGTGATTAAAAAGTTTGTTCAAAAGACAGTTCAAATACAGCAGATTTCTGAAACAAATGTAAGATTCATATAATCACAACTGTCAAGTGTTAGACATTTTAAACCAAAATGTATGACAAAAACATAAAATGTTAAGTTCATTTGTTAAAAGTAGTACAACACCATACAAATGAACAGTTAAAAACAAGTACACAAGCGCATCCTTTCTAGCAGTGATCTGAATGTTATTGTCTTCAGTTTAACTGTAATGTCACAACTCTCGTATCTTAACACTGAATGATTAACAGCAGTAGTGTTATTATTGTTTGTGTTTTCACATTTGATTTCTGTACTCGAAGCAAATTTACCTGGAGGCCCCTGAGGTTTGCAGCCCCACATGTGGGCCCCAGGCTTCACCTGCTGCTCTGTTTGACCAGTTGTTCCACCTCCTTCATGAAGCGCAGGCAGAGCTCATCCTGCCATGGCAGGGCGACACACTGCACGGCCATGGGCAGACCCTTGCTGTCAGACACGGCCTGAACACAAACACAACCACACACAGTCAACACTGGACAACCAGAGCCACCACAGTCTTCTACCTCCACCTACTGTCCAACTGTGGTACTACAGTTTTAAGAAACTCACTACAAGGGCCTGACACTGAAGTTTGGTGATAAACAGCATCACATGTTGCGAGGTAATGTCTGTCTGGGGCAGAACGGGTGGGGCCTTTCATATGTCTGTGTCTAGGGGCCCATTGTGTCACAATTTTTCTATGGCTGTATTACTTGGAGTTACAAACGGCAGTTATTTATTGATACTATTTCATTTTAGAATACTGTACAACTTATTTGGCATTAATGTACAAATATTTATTATGTATTTTGTTTATGCATTATGTATCACTGCCAAGAACCAAAGCTTTAAATTGGAGACTTAAAAGGCCGTTTTACTCATTTTATGCCCCCACATATAAATACAGATGTAGTTTTTTTTTCCCTTTCTTTTTGTAAATCAAAAATAAAGTGATTAGGCTGAGAAAAACTGTATTAAAATGAAACATGTCTAACAATCTAACAGCTTCACAAAGGTAGTGTTCATCTGCAATGTATAGCAGGACTACAGTATTTTATCATTTGGTCACCTCACATTGGCACGGGGTATTTACCTGTTTGAAGAGCATGTCCCAGTGGTCCCGATAAATGCCTTTATAGTGCTTGAGTTCTTCTTCGTCCTCTGCTGTCACCGTGGAAACAGGAACAACGCCGGCGGGAAAGTTGAGGAGATTGTAAATTGATGTGTAAGAGAGAGGACCTGAAGAACAGAAAAAACTAATAGATCAGTCACTGTGCTACACAAGGTTTTATATTATTGCTGGTTTGTAAGATTGACCATAAGTGCAATGAGGTACACTGCTATCAAAGTATTTCACCAATTAAGAAAAATATATATATGTAGGTTCCAGTGGCGCAACCGGTCAGCGCACAGTACTTATAAGACAGTAAACCAAGGACCATGACGTCGCCCGGCATGGCGCAGCCGGGGCCCCACCCTAGAGCCAGGCCCAGGGTCGGGGCTCGAATGAGAGCGCCTGGTGGCCGGGCCTCCCCTCACAGGGCCTGGCCAGGCTTAGCCCGAATGAGCGACGTGGGGACGTCCTCCCGTGGGCCCACCACCTGCAGACGGATCCATAAGGGGCTGGTGCCACGTGGATCGGGCAGCAGTCGAAGGTAGGGGCCCTGACGACCCGATCTCTGGACACGGAGACTAGCCCTGGGGACATGGAATGTCACCTTGCTGGTAGGGGAAGGAGCCCGAGCTTGTGCAGGAGGTTGAGAGGTACTGGCTAGATATAGTCGGGCTCACCTCCACACACAGCTTGAGCTCTGGAACCTTACTCCTCAAGAGAGGCTGGACTCACCACTACTCTGGAGTTTCCCGCGGTGAGAGGCGGTGGGCTGGGGTGAGCTTGCTTATAGCCCCCATGTGTTGGAGTTTACCCCGGTGAACGAGAGGGTCGCTTCCCTGTGCCTTCGGGTCGGGGATAGGTCTCTCACTGCCATTTGTGCCTATGGGCCGAATGGCAGTGCAGAGTACCCAGCCTTCTTGGAGTCCCTGGAAAGGGGTGCTGAAAAATGCCCCGACTGGGGACTCTGTTGTTCTACTGGGGAACTTCAACGCTCATGTGGGCAGCGACAGTGACACCTGGAGGGGCGTGATTGGGAGGAACGGCCCCCCCGATCTGAACCCG